AAACTTTTGAGTTTTCGAAAACCTTCATTGAAAGTCATTAAAAACACCTTAACTCAGAAATACAATAATATTTACAAATTGCTGGAAATGTGCTTATTAACGGTGTGAGAGATAAATCAAAACATACATTTGTGCAATTTTGAAAATCAAAAGAATATACCAAATCAACTTTTTCATACTAAATAGTGCATTTATCACTATCCGTACAAAAAGTTTGGAGCTTTACATAAACTGAAAAGATTTCTGTGAAAAATTATTTTAAATTTCGCTTAAACGTCATTTTCTTAAAAACGGCTCAAAATTACTCAACACAAATTTCCTTATATGAGGAGGTTTTACTTTCTTTAATATTCTTAAAGTAATATTTTGGTTCTACCGTTAGGAAACCAAAGAATAGAGACTTTTTAAAATGTAATTTGGGTCGGCAATAGATAGTAGCTGGCAAGAGAATAGAACCAGAATATAAGTTTGCTGAGACCAACGAAATTAGAAAACTAACTAGTACCAGAAATTCTGTGCCAGGATACAACAAATTCTTTTTTTGTTTTCGGTCTAGTACCTTGCGTGGCATCTAAAACAAAAACCATATGAACACAAGTTGTAGTGTATATAATACGGGCCCGTTAAACTTTGGGGCTCTCAGCATAGTTTGGAGCTCATTTTACAATCATCGCAATATTAAAATTCTGCAAACTAAAAACGGTCTTTGATACGAGTACGTTCAAAATTACAGATTGCAGGTATTAAAACAATTTAAAAAACATTGTATTTCATTCGTTAAGCATTAGAATCGATCTAAGCGAACTCAGACTATAATTAAAAGCCAATGACTTACGTTCCAAAGATTTTAGAGCCGAAAAACACGAACACTTCTGTTTTGCAACTGCTCTAATTTTTTACTGAATCACAGAGCTTTGATGGCAAAAGGAGTTATTAAACTAATTGTTAAAATCGTTCCTCCTTGAATGTTTGTGATGAATGAAAAGATACCAAGGAGGGCTCTTATAATATAAATGGCTAATATCCTTTGTCTTTATATCACCACCTTTGTCTTTATTTTCATTTATAATAAACTGGAAATGCGCTTTTTTTAGAGTAAAAATCTGAGTGTTACGACTCCTGATTTAGGCACGACACCGTTTAAATTCTAAGTAAATAACGTTTAAATGCAAAACATAATTGAAAGAGGATATTATATATTATAAGGGATATTCACAATAACGCTGCGCGTTTTATAATATCGAACTAAATTTAACCAATTTATTAATGTATATTAGCGCGGCTTAATAAATTATTATTCGCTTTATTATTATTATTATTATTATTATTATTATTATTATTATTATTATTATTATTCGTTTAAAATACAGAAACAAGTAAATCTTTCATATATAAATTTGAAGCCCTGTGAAATGAAATGTGTTAATATAATTTTTTTAATCTAGTTCCAACATTGGGGGGTAGTCGCCCCCCCCCCCTTGCCACCCCCCTGAATCCCGTCTCTGTTACTTTTTGTTTGCTTTTCTCCGTATTTACCCGAAGTTGAAGTTCAATACATTTCTAGGCAATACTGTTCGTTGTTTTTGCTAATGTATTTCCAAGTACGTTAATACGGATGCAAACTAAATGAAATCTGCCGCACGATTCACTTGTCGCATTCAACGTTACCTACACAGACCTATTTAGGTAGCGTTGGTTTAATACCCGGCGTACTCACTAAGATAGCAGCTTTAAAACTTGCAAAAACACGTTTTGAAAAATTTCTTAGAATAATGTGGCTGCGTTTGAAAACAAATTATCAGTTCCCCGCTAGGAGACCAAGACGTGTCGAATTACACCTCGTACGTCTCGATTGGTGCACGGGAAGTGGTCTAACCGTGAGTGACGGATCCGCACACACACACACACTCGTAGTTTCTCAAATACTGCATAGGGATTATTTTTTTCAAAATAAGAAAAGAAATAATATAAATATGAAGATCCGCGAAATGAAATGTCTAAATATATTTTTTTAAATCTGTCCCAACATTGGAGGGCAGTTGCTTCTCCTCCCATGAATTGTGCGTCTGATAATATAGTACAGATAAGATTTTATTTAAGTATCTAAAATTTTGAAAATTGCGAAATACATGTTTATTAAATTATTAGTAGTTTTTTCGTAACTTTGGTTTATGTAATGACAAAGTTAATGTCTTGGAACCAGCCGAACTTCAATATTGATTATGGAGATTTTTCTTCTCTAATATATACCTTGATATTAAATCTTTAAATTACGTAGTACACATTTATTTAAATATTACTGGTTTTGCTGTAATTTTGAGGTATGTTGTTTGAGTTTTCTAAGCAATGACTGAGAAGTTAGTATGCTAAAAGTTAAGTTACAATAACCGTTACCAATAACACAAGAATGTTTGTGTTGTTGTAACAGCACTAGATATTATGTAGAATTTGAAAAATGTTTCCTCTAAATACCAAAACATTTGCCTATCATTGAGAAATATAATACTGATTTTAGAAAACGAACTGCAGATGATTTTGTAAATAACAAAAAAATGAACTATTGTTTTAAAAGTTGATTTAAATTCACACATATAATTGTTTTGGTCTAAAGTGAAAATGCCCTTTTAGGTTGGGAAGTAATATATGCAATAGCGACGTAATAGCACGTAGAAAACTACGCAATAGCAGACCAGAGAAAACCTGCAATGTACTACATCCCCAACCTTCAATGCGTTTGGGAAATAAAGCAACACTTAACTTCGCAATACTCCCTTGTAGATAAAAATGTCACGTACACTAGAAATGTTAAATTTTATTTCGTTCTTACTATTTTTGTAAAAGGAAAAAAAAAATGTTTTGAACTCTTTTTAACATATTATTTCATTAGGGTCCGAAAATTAAAAGTTCATGTTTTGTTATTTCAAACATTTTTCGAAGGCCGGACGCTGATTCTTTTCACTAAAGCATACACAACCTCAATAATCGCATACCTCATTAATCTACATGCAAAGGCATTATTCACGATATCTACAACTAAATGTGCGATAAATCGCATGCAAATTATAAACAATCATGTTGAAAATGCATACTTACTCGTATAAAAAAGTACACCATAAAAAATATATTGAAGGCTAAGTCTATTTGCTGGGTAATATTGTTGCTCCATTTCTGACACCTCTCTACCACCTCACTGTAACAAAAAATTACAAATATAAGCCTTTGACCACACAATTATAATCTCTATTACATAAAAGTGAGAGTATGTATGCTTGTATGTGCCACAAAAACTTCATATTCACTGCAGTGTTTGCTTCCAAATATGGCATGAATACTTCTGTCAAGAAGTTTCTACTAAAATGTTACTCTAAAATGGATGTATTTTAAAATAAGAGTATAAAATATAAAGAGAATAACTACCCCGCTCCTTTACTAACATTAATTGAATTCAGAATAAATTGTAGGAACGAGCATTATCGACAAAATATATATACAGAAATAAACTTTCGTACAGTAGAATTTTTTTGCATTCAAAAACGAGCTAGAAATTTTGTATAACAGTCCTGTCGAGAAAATAACCTAACTCATACTTCTCTCGCCTACAGTAATAAGGGAATATTATGAAAAAGATTAAAAACTACAATTTGGTAATATCGGGATAAAAACAACTATAATTGACACGTACGCAGATATAGAATGGATTAGAACCGTACAGTAAGTTAGGGGATACAGAATGTAACCTGCATTGAAGCAGCAATACAATCGTCTCCTATGTTATTTCAGTAACGTTTGCGCTCTCATACGCAACAGATCTTTATAAATTAAATCTCTAGGGTAAGATAATTTCACGGAGTCATGACGAATTGCACTTTGACTTTAAAAATTCGAAGGATTTGTTGGGGAAAAAACGCGTCAAATGCAACCCGCAGCACTTAGTCACTTATGTCGTAAAATAACTCCTAATCAAGTTCTAGGACCTTAAAAATAAATTTTTATGACCAAAGGTCTCAAAGAAACTTTCATCACATCGTAACCTGTTGGGTAAGATATTCTTGGACATTTTATTAACTTTTTGCTGGTTCAGCACTTATCGATACTACCAATGCCACCTCAATTTCAACTCTTGGTGATGATGGCCATCTTTGTGAAGTCACCCTTAGAAGGCTCAACCTTATACTATTTATTGACGCTTTCTGTGTACAGAGTAGTTTGCGCAGACTGACGAGATTTATTTAAATAATAATTAATTCAAAACTCAATCTCGCAGCAACAATTAGAAGTACCCTAATAGTTGCTTGATACCGATGAAGATTAATTTCTTATGCGTGAAGTGAAAACATTTAACGTTTTGTCGAAGTCTACAAGTGCTGTGTACCTAATTGTAGAGGCAAGTAGGTGTACAATGAAGAGTGATGACGTGTCTTGTTACGTTTAGTTTGTGTTTTACATGTACCAGTATATTCGTTATCAGCTGTGATTCGGTGAAACTTTCAAGTCAGCGATTCTGTCACGTAGCTTTCTCAAGAGTAAAGAGCTTTTTTAATATTTTGCGACTATAATAAAAAGCAAAAAGCTGTCAAAGAACATTGAATAATTACTTCAAATATTTTTAAGGGAGTTGTTCCACGAAATCTCTCGATAATACTGAATGAAGTTTTATTGAAAATTTCTTTTCCATATCAATTGCATTGTTTTTATTTTTATTTAATATTATGTTAGTACAATAGACTTTATCTTTAAACATTTTTAAAAAATAACAAATTTCGTTAACAGCAAGGGAGAGTTCTCGCACGCGTATGTGGAGGTAGTACGGGAAAACGTGTTATGGCACAACACAAAGAACGAACTTTTTAAATTAACTAAATTAAAATTACTTGAAATTAATGAAAAACAAAAATTAAAACGTGCTAGACTACAATACTACGTGAATTAATTTAAAAAAGTAACGAAATTTAAAATTATAGATAGAATAGCCCACGGCATTCGACAACTGACAATCTAGACGCTCGATTTAAATGTTGGCGGTATCGGGAAAGTCTGTAATTCAATGCTTGACTGTAAACACATATTGTAATTAACACACCGTTTGATATTAAACTTTAGGAGTTGGTTCACTAAGATATTCAATAAGTAAACATCATTTGAGCAACATTTCCATACACCGAAGTGAAGTCTAAGCGTATAGAATTGTCTCTAATGGTAACAAATTGTATTCAGTGCTCAAAGGTGAAATATTAGTTTTATTACTTTGTCTCGGAATTGATTTTCTTGAGGTACATAAGAACGCAGAAAATAAAGGATCTCGAGTCCCTGAGTTTGATATAGATAAATTAATTTTGGGGGGTACTTTAATGAAAAACTTGGAGCTGTTTATGAGAAAAGTTTGAAAATATTTAGGCTTTCTGTACACATTGTCTTCGGATAGCATAAAGAACGTTTAAAGGAATGGTGCACATAAAATTTTCGTGAAAATCCATGATTTTTCGAAAATTGCAGAAGTTTGAATTTTTCCGGTGTTTTCCTGCATCTACAATATTGAAGATGAGAGTTGTTTCCTTAATGAAATGTTTTCTTCAAGGAATGAACTTGAAATAGGATCCCTTACAATTTTTCGTGCGACTGCCCGTATCTCTGAAGAAACATTCAAAAATAACAAGCCCAATTGCAAATTTAAACACGAAAAAATAAACAAAGCGCTGAATTTATTTATCTGTTATCTATCATAAACTATTTATATTGTAACGTTTCTCCGTGGTGAATTAAAACCACACACAGAGGTAATATTTAACAATGAAGTTTATTTGTAAACAATGCTACACTAAAAATACTTGATTTATTTACAGATATATTACACAGTCCTTGTGTTTTTCACTTTATTACTTTACTTACGACACCGCTCTCTTAATTATTTATTTACACAGTTCACTTCTACACTATCGCACAGTCCGATGCACTGTCCACGGTCCACTGCGCCGACCACAATTCACTGCGCAGACCAGGGTTCACTGCACTGCTGTTTACTCCGATGCACACTTCACAGCTCAGCTTCCAAGGTAGACTTCAAACTGCTGACTGCTGTTCCTCTACGGTAACACTGTTTACCGCAATATACACTTTACAGCTCAGCTTCCACTTCAGACACACTGACGGACTGACTGCTTACTACTTCTACTTACATGACTACATACATTGACTGACTCGCAGCTGCTTACTGCCTGACTGACTACGCCTGATTGACTCGCCTCGAGCCATCGGGAACGTACGCAACATTTCTACGCGACTCGCAAATAACCCTGAACCGTCCAGTTCGAGGGGGGGCGCCGGCAGGTGATGCAATATTCGTTACAATATATTAGCCAGTTCAACTTTAAGCATCGAAATGAACATTGATGTTTTTGATTTGATTGTATTGGTTTTCGAGAGCCAAACAGTTACGCAGTGAGCCCACTCAAACTTCGTCCTAACCTCGAATGTACAGGTACATTCACCCCGATATAAATCATCAAGGACAGTTCAGTCCAGGATTAGGATGTTTCACTAAATCAATGAGTGTGAGAGCCTTCATGCACCCGAATGAAATTGTAATTTTCTATGGCTGTTGCTGCAATGGTTTTCATCTGTCAACTTCGAATAGAGACCAGTTGATGATTCTGGGCGTGGACTTCTCCAATGGATGGATGTGTCACGCCTGACAGACTGGAAGCATTTCAGCAGAAACTTGGTAAACGCGTCAGGAGTAAGATCTAGTTGTGCCGTTCCGGTAATCATTAAAATATTTTCATTTTTGAAGGTACTTTACGTGAAGTTCATGCGACATATTCAATAATTTCTGGAAAATGGTTGAAAATGTATTTATATGTTTGGTATAGTTCAGAATTTCATCAAAAACTGTCATTTAGATCGTGTATATATACATATACATAATCTTAGAATAAAAAACACTAAGGGATTTTGATGATCAAGACGTTTGGGCTTTTAATGTTTTATCCTGGCTATAATTAACACATTTTATGGAATAAACACTCAATTTTTATAAAACAATAATAATAATAATAATAATAATAATAGAATGAAAGCTTTTCTGCCGTTATTTGTTCCTTATATCCTGTGAGTAGGAATTTTATTAACTGAAAGCTTTCGACATTTTTCATAGAGTTCACGACTATGATAAAGTAAGGGATGCGGTTCACGGTGTTGGTCTAAATATGATTGTGTTGTGATTGTTTAATTGTTCATATTTCGACAAATACCATGCATCCCTTATTCGACATTTTCTCTTCTAGAAAACATGAATGTTAGAATATTGTAGCACGTTTTCTTAAGTTCGAAGTGCATTTTTAAATGAAATGATTTGTGAGTATGGAAACGCAATAAATAATAATCTGACAAAGTTTCCATTCACAAAACATTTAGTGATTATAATTGTTGTACATTATTTTTTGAAGCTAAAGTAAACACAGGATCTCTTTGCACATTTCCTTACGAAATACATCGAACAGATCGTAGTACACAAGAAAATTCCATTCACGTTTCAGAAACATGTACTCTGTGTTCACAGTGACAGTGATTGCATTGCTCCGGAATGTGTAAAACAGCCTCATTTCATTAGTTTTGGGGGGTAAACACAAAGACATGCAACGTTGTTTTGGAGGTTCACTAATTCACGCAGTGAAAATGTAGAACTATTTTTGCTCTAGCCACATCCCATATATCTCATATTCAGCGTGCTGCTCAAAATATTAAGAAATATCCCAAAGTAGGTAGGCCTAAGAAGGACCCATGACACTCGGCGTTAGCTATTGAAAAAGTAGTTGGTCAGTTCCGATGTTCAATGCCCTTTTTAGTCGATTTATCACACTAGAAAAGGTTCTCGACATATTCAGTGGATGCTTTACATGGATTTCCTTGGTTCTGGAAACAAAACTTTGTCAGTCACTCTGAATTTTTGTGCCATTTCCTTGGAAAACATAGATACTGGTTTGAAATTATCGTACCGATTTTTATAATTTGAAAGAGTTTAATTTCAATAGATCTTTTTCACATTTATGTTTAATTATTCATGCATAAAAAGGTTTCAAATATTAATGGATAGGCGTGTTCTTTATAAAATTTTCATTGACCATTGACCCGAATTGTCCTTCGTTGTCGCGGGTCTTACTGAGGTCTAGGTCATCTTAAGCTGCGTCTTTGGTTGCAATGTGCTCACGTCAAAGAACAAAGACATTTTCCACAGGTTTCTTTTTCCTTGATGTTAACTCCCGGTAAACACTAAAATAATTGTAATAATGTTCATGAACCTCATGAAATGTTACTGATCTGTAACATGATTGGGTGATATGATTTTTCTCTAATAAATCACTTGCAACAAATGTTAAAATTGTACTTCCTATATTATTATTAGTATGTTAATAAAACTATTAGCAATCTATAGTTTCAATATTGAATGTCACGAATATTATGTTTATTTACACATCGAACAGGTACAAGTCCAGAAATTTCACGTTAAGTAGCATCAGACGTTCAGGGTTTGTGTTAGTCTGCGTATCTTGCAGAGGTTTCTTCGCAATGCTACTTTTTACACTTACAATGACTCCGTTTACTATTCTTCAATCAGATTAAATGACCAGCCTCATTAGTGGGTAATCTCGATAACTGACTACATACGACCGATTATTGCATTGTGCTAGGAATTTCAATTTGTCTGAGGACGTTTCCTCTTTCCATATGTGAGACAAAGTCTATGCACATCAGTTACTTGGTGGGCGACATGATGCGTTGTAAGCAGTAAGTATTTTTCGGTCCATGATTCGAATTTCTTGATCATTCCAGTCTACTAGATCGATACTGTACTCGGCTACAAGGTCTGTCAAACTACATATTGCAGATATTTTATTCCTGAAGTTCACAGCAAACTCCACGACAAATGCCATTCATCTGTAATACTCTCTGTGAATTTTCTTTTCCATTTAACGATCGAGATGTTATCACATTCTTCAATGCCCAGATATTTGCAAGTTTTACCTAGCTTAAAATCTTGAACAATAGTGTCACCCACAAATATATAAACTTCCATGCTCTCTGAAGTTGTTACTTTGCCTCTCTTTGAATTCACTATTGCATATTTATCAAGATAAAATTTCATGCAGATGTCATTGCTAAAATCAATGACTACAGATAGCATTTGAGAGAGACTCACTTCATTCTCAACAAACCATCTAAGACCATCAGGTTAAATGTAATGTAATGCTGTATGTAATGTAACGTATTTCAAAAGTACAAGTAATGTTCGCTGCGTAGTTCCTTGCGCTGAGGATCCCCACGGGTGGCCCAAGAGCGGCTTACGGCGCGCCCGCCCGCACGGAGCAGCCGCACTCGGCCCGGTCGCTGACATGCCGGAAGAAAAGCGCGTCAGCGCCCTCCGCAGCAAAGGCGCGCGTGGGGAAGGGTGGAGCGCTGAAAGAGCAAGGGGAAAGGCGGCTGGGGAAGGAGCAGACGGGCACTTGGACTGAGACGAGCGAACGGGGCGGACGTGCGGCCAGCCAAGGGCTGCTCTTAGAATGAGAACTTGGCGAGCGCTTTTGAGAGTTAGTGCAGGTGCGGAGGATTAGTTTTATTCCATGCAAGTGTTAAGCTATTTCTCAGTTTAATTAACTGGTCAATCCTGCAACTGAACATTGAAACGATCTAAGAACCAACTGACAATAAACAAGGGTAGAGAAAACCTATGGTCTTTAATTCAACCATACGTCTCTCGCGGTTTAGCTCATTAGTCAGCATGCTCGCTTTCTATGACTCGACCACGGATTCGAGTCCCGGTTGGGCTAGTCTATAATGCGCGTTTTCCTTGCAATGTCTCAGTATTTGTTGCTGTGTGATGATGACTAAACTCATTTCTCAGGTTGAGAAGACAAGAATATGGCGTAGGGACGTCTTCGTGCTAACCACACGTACCCCGTAACCCATGACTGCGAAGTAGGGAAGCTGCTAGTAGGCCCTGGCCCGTTTCCGGGATGACGCGCGAAGTAGACAGACAAACAGACAGCCCGACGTCCGTGGGGATGTTCCTCTGTGTGTTCACGACCCTATCTCTCTCAGCCAAGCGGGAGCCAGGAGAGAAGTGGAGGTGAGTATAAAAGAGTAAATAGAGACCTGAAAGCAAAGGCTCAATAAAATTCCAGATGATGGAAATGGCCAAACTGTGTCAACATCAAGACTAACTAAATAAGATTCCAAACTACCCATCTTACGACAGATGTATTGAAAGAGTAGTAGACACGTCACACCTTGATACTGAAATAAGTGTGGGGAAACTGGGAAGAGAAGATATGACTACACGTAGACGCATTGGACACAGCAGAGTACGAAGCAAACTCTACCGTAAAACAAACAGAATCCCCCAGGGACAAAATTGCCCAGCTTTTTCACACTAAAGCATACTGTCAACAAACAACACTCAATGCTGTTTGCACTCAAACTCACTCCATGGAAGAATGCCCTAGACTCAGACCAACTTTATCCCAAACAAAATTAACTGCAATTACCACGGTACTGCATATGACCAGCTCCGCCCACTCATCAGTCAAGCCCGTCAAATCCGATAGCAAGAAGCTTTAACAGCACGAAAAACATTCACCTTGCAAACTCCCTGCCTGATCCTCATTTCCCCTACTCACATCACTCCCTTACAGTCCCTGCGCGGCAGGAGAGCAGGCGCCACCCCACCTCCTCAAAACCAAACCGTCCCACCCGTTACAAGCTCTAAGCTTCCGACAAGTCTCGCGGCATGTGTGGTAGTGTAGATTATGTTATTGTAAGAGTGTGTGTAAGCGGTGATGATAGAGCAAGGAAGAGGTAGGAAACATCGCTCGCGGCCCGTGGCCCGTTTGTTAGCGAACTGCTCTGCCATTCGCCTGGTATTGATCGAAGAAACCATGGAAAACTGCTGATCAGAGCAGCCGGCCGTTGTAATTTCTCCTCCAAACAACGGTTGAATTCGACCTAGCCAACAAGATAGTGTCGAAAATCTTGCCACTGTCTGGACTCGAATCTAGGACCTCCCAGTAAGATGCACTTCAGTTACATCAGTTGATGCAAAGAGCCACCTCTCCGGGTAGCAGGTAGTGGCATGGCTTTCCCTGCCGCACCCTCACACGGGGCCATCACGACTCCGTCTACTCGCCTCGGAGTTCAGAGTCTATCGATCGTCTATCTTGAAGAGGCAGAGGACAAAGTTTGTGTATCGGGGTACGCAAATCGCATCTTCCCGCATTCACCAGAACTTGCCGGAGTTCGCACAATTTGACGAGAGTTAGATGGAATCTTCTCCAGAGTTCTAGCATCAAGGCAGTACGCGAGTGCGAAACCCACTTAACTCCATGGCACCCTTTCCCTGAGAGAGGTTGCTCTGCACAGCAAACGCACGGGAGGACGTAAAACAGAGAAGGACTGGGAGTAAGAAAAGAGACGGTCAAATAATATATGAAAATCAAGAGTATGGACGATGGGGAACGCCTAAAAATTCAAGCTTTTCTCATTTTCAAAAATGTAGAGTTAACAATGAAAATTTACCTACGCAATCTTTATAAGATATTGCACTGTAGTCTTCAAGAAATTCAAAGGAAAACAATTAAGCAGTTTTTGTGAATGTTTGAAAATGTTCATGGGGTTTCATGGAAAGTACCCCAAAACTTAAATATTTATCAAATTCGTAGAACTTTAAGCCGAACCAGATCGGCCAGGGAATATTCATTTGGGAAAAATCCTACAGTTTAGGCGCTAGTGTTGTTCACAGACGAACAGTCGATTTGTCGTTAATCGATTTTTCGGTATCAAGGACCCACAAGTCGTGGTTTCTGATTGCACAACAATATAGAGGGAGTAATTTTCTACGAAATGAATCGAGATTCATACACTTTTTCTCTCTAAAGACCGTACAGTACAAGGTTTTCTGTCCTAAAATCTCAGTTTTTTGTTACAGCATTCCCTAACATTCCTTATACTACTTATATTACTCCGTATTCGAGAAAGTAAAAAATATTTATTAATTTAGGTGGAGAGTAACGGAAAAATGCTTAACCTTCGCAAATTTCTAAATTCAAGAGGTTGTAATGAAAAGAAGGAATATTCTATTTTTATAAGTGCATTTATCCTAAATAATAAAAAATATTTTTCAAGTATTTTTTCTGAAAGTGTCACAATTTCACTTTTAGGCCTTCAATAAGATGATTATTTTTTCTAAACCACTGAATGGGGGTTTCAAGAAAAGTAATAAATTACTCGTTTTGTTTACCATTAATGAAAATAAATTTGCAAAAACAGCTTTATCACCTAATGACAAAGAAATACTTTTAATACGCTACACACTAATAAATAGAATATAAAAATATACCAAGCTCTTCGACAAATGTTTCTGTATTTGCACATCAATATGTGTATACTTTTATACGCGTTTACCTAGGAGTGCTGACCAAAAGATACCAACGTTGAAAAAATGTTAACGTAGTGTATCTCGTAAAACACATTAACTGGGCAATCTCTTTGGCCATTAATTCACTAGGGCTTTGCTCACTTTACAGTCTTTGACAATATGTTTAGCATACATTTTTGCTCGAGATTGATTTAGTATAATAATAGGTATCAATAATTAAGTTCATTCTGAAGGGTTGACATAACTTTGAGAAATGTGCTTCATGTTTGTGCTGCTCTCTATGGGCAGTGTCATCATTACAGTAATAAATATTAAACTTACCTTGATGCATCAATGAAGTAGATAATGAGCGATGCTATACTTAATATGAACACCAAAACAACCTGAAACAAAAAATTATGTGTCATTAAAGATAATTATAGAGGTAATACCTCGAGTGCTTTGAAAATTGAAAATGCTCAGGTAGTTCCCCTGCTCGAAAATTGACAAAGCACGAGTGGTATTTAATATAAATATTTCACGAATAAAATTATGTCCACCAGAGTTCCAAAGTACGCCAAATACTGAAAATAACTGATAGATATGTTAAAATCAAAGAAGTTATGTTACAGTGCTTATGCAGTTTATGGAACATCGACATATAGGGATAGATGAATATTGTCTCCTAAGACAGGAGAGTCACAGTTTATGATTGGCTAGACGGGAGAAAGAGGTCAGAGGAATTGAAAAAAAACCCAAATATTTTGTTAACATTTTTTGCCAAAAACGCTCATTTTCTTCTGAATTCAGAATTCAACTTGTATAAGACTTAGAGCACGGATCCCGGAATTAGAAAAACGTGCACAGAATTAACTTGTCCTCGTAGCAAGTGACACACAGATTTTACCTCTTTTTTTATGTAAAATATTTTTTTAAGAAATAATATTTTAAGTGACCACAATTCCGAGTTGTTAAAAACTGACTCTGAGCATTTTGTTCATTCCAACCTGCTGAGTTTATTTCAGAGCCAGCACTGTCGCTGTCTTTACAGCGACTTTGAACGAGAGGTCCTTGAGTTTGAGTCCCGACGGTGGCGGATTTTCGACACTATTTGAATAAGTAGGTAAAATTCAGCCACTTGTTTTGAGAATTCTAGCGCTTTAATTAGAAGTTCTACGTGATTTCTCCCATCAATACCAAGCCCTTGCCGGAGCAGTACCCTAACAATCTGACCACAGACCGCGCGCAATCTTTCCTTCCTCTTCATTGTCCTATCCCTACCCCTTATTTACACACACTTGCACTAACATGCCCTACACTACCACAGATGCTTAGAGCTTGTCCCGGTTGGGGCAGTGCCCCGCTGGTGGGAGATACCTGATTGGGGAAATTGCTAGCCGACGGTAGGTCGGTGCCGGATCTCGCCGTTCAGTGGGGAAGGAACTATCGTCGGTGCCGGACCTCCCAGGATACAACACTCACTACATAAACGAGACTACAGCACGAAACAAATAGATCAAGTATCAAGAAATCAATTACGGTATGTGAAAGTAATATGGCCACGTTAAGCGCGTCAAATTTTGCTGTTTATATATTTCAACATTTGGCCAAATTAACAGAATAATGATGAAATTCAATACTTGTGATTCAAGTTGAAATAACTATATCACAAAAAATATAGTTCAGGAATATCTTATTGTTATTTTACAAAAACATTGTAATTTGTTTGAAGCAAGTGCCATTAAAATCGATGAAATGTGCAAAAAATGCATTAAAAAGGACTAAAAAGATAAAAATGACTAAATTATTGTGTAATGTAATTTTGTTGTGTCATTGTTAAAATGAATTTCTATTTATTATTTATTTAATAGGTAATTATTACATACAAAATTAGCTTACTTGATCCTATGTGGCTAGGCCGAAGGCCTTTAAGCCATTACAATACCTACATCCTTTCGCGTTCTAATCTTTCGAATTCTGGTATTCACCCCAAATGGTCTCTCCATCGCATCAAAGCCGCGGAAAAGAGACCATAAGGTACGGCTCAGGAAAAAACCCCTGAAGGGGGAAAAACCTGCCGTCAGAAGCCGAGTACATTCTAATCTATCCGACGTTTATTTTAGCTATATTATTTTCTGGCGCGGGCGTCCCGCCGTCTCCTTCCAGTGCTTGTCCTCCTCAGCATCTGAAATCAAACAGCGCCACAGAAGATCGTCCGCACCAACGCCTCTGCCCTTATATTTTCGCTCCCCCTTACCTTCCCCCCTAATGTGCGTATTACTATGCCAGTTTTATTTTATTTATTATATTAACATTTTACTTACCAATTAACTATGACTTATGACTTATTTCTTAACTGTTTACTTACTTAACATAAAATTACTGATTAACTTACATATTGTTAGCTTATTGACTTATTTATTTCTCTCCAGTCTAGGCTCCGCTCAAGCTTACCGGTGCTGTTTTCCCACTCCCTAATTTCAGTTTCCCTAATGGTCCGAACCTTTCCTAAAAATGTTCCTAATTCTTCCATGAATTTAGACCTTTTATCACCTAAAATGTTTTGGGCGAGCGTTACGTTCCTGTTTAGAAAGTAGTAATTTCCCATTTGAATGAATTTCTATACTAAACAGAATTGTCCTAAAGTGAAAAGAAAAAATACATTTCATGAAAATCCGCCCCTATTCATAAGTATTATGTATTGAAATAACATTGTTATTTTAACTTCCTTTAAAGGGGTGTCATACCTCAGGATATTAAAGCAATCTTGATACTAACCACACAGCAACAGTTTTGTTAATATTTGGAATATGTTACGTATCTTCAAATACTAAGAGCCCTTCCCTTCCCCGAGCGCGCGTTTGCTGGTGGAGCGCTGCGTGACCTTGTGTGGCTGTTACATTCGCAATATCCGTTAAACACTAGTCGCAAAAAATCAACATGACTAAAAAAAGCTTATCTAACACATAACAATATGTATATCATTGGATTCGTCATTTTACGCTTGCCATGACAGACTGAAAATATGTATAGTTATATTTGAAAAAACAAAGTTACCTCAAATATCTCGTAAAAGACAAGTGATAAAAAAATAGAAATAAATACACGTATCAATAAGCCCCATTCCGTCATGCCCTTCTTTGACAACTGCATTGCAATAACTTTAACCGTTGAAATGTTATAGGAGGTGCTAAAGTTACGCAACTCACCCTATGTAATATAAATTACACTCTTTCAGTCTAATTGTACGGCCTGAAATAAATGCTTTTTTTAATCAATAGCGTAAGAGTATATAAGAATTTATAAGGACAGAATGCTTTCAGCGCGTTCTTAACAATCAAAGCTCCAGAGTGCGAATCAACAAGTTTGGTAGGGTGTTAACGCACTTCTAACACTATCCCAGACTGCATTCTAGCATAATCAATTGGAAATAGTTTCAGCTAACACTATTGCCGCTACTTTGCCATAATATCTGCGCTGGTCATATTTTCATCACTTATCTTAATCACCGAATCAATCAATTGTTCATTCTAAAGTCGAACTTCAGTAGTAAATATGCATGCCTCAGATCTGCACTTTTAATCCCGAGAGTCGATTACTTTCCATTTCAGATTTATATTATTTCTCGAGTCGAGAGTCGATTGTTTAACCGATTAGCCATTTTGAGAGTGACCTACAATCTCAATGCATAAAACAAATGAATAACTAGACTTGGTGGCACTACTTACGGAGCAATAAAGTAGAATAAAATATCGCTTCCTTGCTACCAATAGGGAGTTCAATAAGTTCAGCTCCTGCTGAGCGCGACATTGAAGAAAACTCGATCTTCTAAGCCCCGCTGTGCAATTGGAATCCGTGACGTCCGAGGATAACAAGCACAGCTAAGTACTCCAATTTCCTGCCAATCTATTACGATCAGAGCCAGTCACGTGCTGGGAAAATTGCAGAGAACTAATTAGTTAACGAAACTAGATTTAAAAGGTTAATTTTCTCGCTCACTTCTGCGGAATTTATTCCCCAAGTTAAGTTAGAGATGATTTGACACGCCTGTTTTATCATTGTCTCAGCATGTAGGTCTTTACCAATAAGTGATCCGTTACCACAAACCACAGACGAATTACACTATATTAAGAAATCATCAAAGACACTGACAAGGCTTAACAGGTTAAATTACTTGATTAAACTTAAATTTCTGGCCACAGACAGCACCCGAATGGCGACTTACTGGGAGGTCACGCAATAGATCGCGGAAGGGCAGAAATGCATTAATCTGCTTAAGCCATTGATCGGTTGGTTCGAAGGCTCATCCACGCTAATATCGCTGTCGGTTCGGACTGTCACGGCGTGGGCAACATGTTACCACTCAACACACGCGTTCAAAACAAGCGTACTCTTGCTCACACCTCTCCTTTTAAAAAACCCTTTCGTCCACTCCATTTCCTGAGGCAAAAAACGCCACGCCGCCTCCGCATGTATTAACATAGCAGCTCACAAGCAAATGAGAGCTCAGTCACGACTTCGCCGCAGTCGAGAAGAGAACACACACACACAAACTGAAGAAGAAGAAGAAGAAGAAGAAGAAGAAGAAGAAGAAGAAGAAAGCGACGACAGCAGCGAAAGAAGGTCCCTCTGCGTAAGCCGCTCTTAAATCCACTCACAAACAAAACTCAGCAATCGGCGTAGGTCGTCGGGCTTGCGATTGTCGGTCTCATGGGGTTTGCGATTGTAATACTCGGGACAAGCGCTACAAAAAAAATAAGATTGAAGACCTCTACGTAAAGATCCTCTTGATACAATACATTATTTATAATTAATTAACGAGGTGAAAGATATAGACAAAATGTAACAATATTAATACCATAATATTTTTATTTAAATCATCATAGTTAACTCGTAATCTGAGGAAAATAATTTTAACCTCAAGGCCGAATGAAAAAACAACAACAATTTAGAACACTTTTTTACTTTCTCGTACGGATTTACCGAACGTATGAAAAGACGGACATAGTAGAAATGAATGTAACGCTAAATCGATATCGAGTTATTAATAGAAATTCAGGTTTGTGGGTCCAATGACATCGAAAAAAATTAAAAACGCGTCCGTACGTGCGTCTATAGTCTGTGAACAACTCTAGCGCCTAAACTATTCAAAGAATTTTGTGGCCACTGAATATTCTCCTTTCCATCTGGCCCAACCCGATCAATTGTATGTTTTTTTAATTTTTGGAGGTACTTCACATGAAGATCCTGGTGTCGTTTCAAAATTTTCCTAAAAATACCTTCTAATTTTATTGTATAAATTCTTCGCAAGACTAATGTGAAATATTTTGTAAGACTAATGTAGTCTGTTAGTAGAACAGGAAACTAACTAGAACGAAAATAAGTCAGTGCACTAGCTCGTTTG